GATTCCACTCATGGTGCCTTGTGTGTGTCAGAGTAGAACTGTGCTCCACAGGGTTCTCAGTGGATGATTTTTCATAAGTAGATTCCACTCATGGTACCCTGTGTGTGTCAGAGTAGAACTGTGCCCCACAGGGTTCTCAGTGGATGATTTTTCACAATTAGATCTCACTCATGGTCCTCCCATGTGTGTCAGAGTAGAACTGTGCTCACAGGGTTCTCAGTGGATGATTTTTCATTAGTAGATTCTGCTCATGGTGCCCCGTGTGTGTCCGAGAACTGTGCTCCACAGGGTTTTCAGTGGATGAGTTTTCATAAGTAGATTCCACTCATGGTGCCCTGTGTGTGTCAGAGTAGAACTGTGCTCACAGGGTTCTCAGTGGATGATTTTTCATAAGTAGATCCCACTCATGGCGCCTCCATGTGTGTCAGAGTAGAACTGTGCCCACAGGGTTCTCAGTGACTGATTGATCTTCCATATATAGATTTTACTCATGGTGTGCTCCATAGGAATTTCAGTGAATGGTTTTTCTGAAGTAGCTTGCCATGCCCTTCATCCAAAACACCTTTGAGTAGACTCGAACTTTCAACCTTTCATTTAGCAGTGGAGCTTTACTCTTCAGGGACTCGGACTCCCCGTTACACACTCATGTTTGCTGGGACACAGGAAGGAGGTGCTCTGCATTGTTTTTCAACTGCCAACATCACAGTGTGTGGGTCACTCACTTGTGCTGTTTCTTTCTGCCCTAGGTGAGTACAGCTACCTGGGGACCACGCTTCGCCAGGTGGCCATAGAGCCCATGCCGTCCCTCCTGGATGTCAGGCAACTCATCACGCTGTACGGAATCTTACCCTTAGGTACCAAACCCCCAGGCCCTGAGGTGCCTTCTACAAACAGGGAGGTACTGCTTGCTGCCTCTGTCAGGCAGCGTAGCCCTGTTGGTCCCCAAGAATGTACAGGCAAACCTGGCTTTACTGCACTTTGCAGACACTTCATTTGTTGCACACTGGGAGTTGGTGGCGACGCTGCTTCGAGAAAGTCTGTGGGTACCAGTTTCTTGGCAGCACATGCTCACTTTGTATCGCTGTGCCCCTTGAGGTCATTGCTGCAGTATTTTGAACTCGACAATCTAGTGCCCACATCCCTTTTCTATGTGCTGGGAACCCAAAAAAACATTTGTGCATCCTGCTTTATTGGAAGCAATATCTGCTGTTCTGCGATGGTCTGGAACCGGTCTGGCCGTATCTCCCAAGGTCTGTCTGCATTGCATTCCACTCTCCCCTCTAGATGGTTGAAGAGGGGCAGGTGAAGGGACTGAGCCCAGCACTTTGTCTCCTGGTCACAGAGCGGCTGGGTGGAAGGCTCATGTCTACTCCCAGCCTTACAGACACAGGGTCTCCTCCTGGAGAGAGGGACTTGAGGGAGCATGCCTGGTTTAAGAACCACTCAGAGCCCTCACTCCGGCCTTCCAGGTTCTGCAACAGTGCACGAGAAAGCCCCGTTAGTGAAATCCCTGCTGCTGGCTGGGCCCTCTGGGGTTGGGAAGAAAATGCTGGTCCACGCCATCTGTACTGAGACTGGAGCAAACCTCTTCAACCTGTCCGCGTCCAACATCGCCGGGAAATACCCAGGTCGGAGTGGTCTGCAGATGATGATGCATGTCGTCTTCAAGGTACCCAAGCATTCTCAGCTTTTTGGGCACGCCATTTCTCAGAATTACACACTCAGATCCTGGCTCTGGGCGTCTGGCATATCATTACCTTAGGCCAACAATTCCCTTCAACTTCCCCATCACACAGTCCTGCGAATTAAGTAATTATTGCATCTGGCTGAACATTCAAGCACTAGAAACAGCTGCTTTCTTTGCCTAAGACCCCTTCCCTCATTCTTCCAGAGGAATTCTTCCGGAAATTCTTGCTCCTCTCATTGGAAAGGAGCCCAGAATTGGTTTTGTCGGTCCACTTTGCGTCATCTGATATTTGCATTTCCGGCAGGTGTTCATTCTCACATGGCATAGGGGTATTGTGAAGGAGTTGGTGGGGAGCTGAGGAGACCACAGAGCAGAGGGCATCCAGAAGGTCAGATACACTAGCCATCTGTGTGAACTTCGATAAGCTCCTGTCCTCCTGGCTGTCCAGTTTCTCATCATCAAAAGGAAAGTGTTGAAACAAATGATGCTGAGGTGCTCTTTCAGCTTAGAAAGCAACCATTCTCTACCAGACATAGCTGGATGGGTGGGCAGATAGATGGATAGACAAATGGATGATGGGTAGGTGGGTGGGTGGTTGGATGGATGGAGGAATGGCTGATGGATGGATAGATGAATGGATGAGTGGGTGGGTTGATGGATAGACAAATGGGTAGGTGGGTGGATGGATGGTGGATGGATGGATGAAGGGATGGTAGATGCATAGATGGATAGATAAATGCATGCATGGATGGATAGATGGATGAGTGGATGATGGATGGATGAATCATGGGTGGATAGATGAATGCATGCATGGATGGAAAAATGGATGAGTGGACAATGGATAGATGGATGGATGAATGCATGCATGAGTGGATAGATGGATGCGTGCATGATGGATAGATGAATGATGAATAGATGGATAATGGATGGATGGATGATGGATGGATGGATCGATGATGTGTGGATGATGGATGGATGGATGGTAGATGATAGATCGATGGATGGATCAATGTGTGGATGATAGATGGATGGATGAGTGGGGTGGGTGGATAGATGAATGGATGATGGATGGATGGATAGATGAATGGATGATGAGTGGATGGATGGATAGATGGATAGATTGAAGGGTGGATGATGGATGGATGAATGGTGGATGGATAGATTGATGGATAATGAAGGAATGATAGATACATGGATGGATAAATGGATGCATGCATGGATGGATAGATTGAAGGGTGTATGATGGATGGATGAATGGTGGATGGATAGATGAAGGGATGATGGATGAATGGATTATGAAGGGATAAGAGATGCATGATGGATAGATGATGGGTGGATGATGGACAGATGGATGGATGGATGGATGGATGGATAGCTAGTTAAGTAGAGAAATGAGGTAGATGGATACATAAAACAGGTACACAATATGCATATATATATACACGGATAAACACAAAGATTACCAAGTTGCAAATAATTTTGATGCAGGACATTTATATTTAAGATCAAAACTTTACAAGCGACTATTTTTATTTTGTTAAGTTGCTCAAGGCTATCATGTGGGTGTTGTTGTGAGTTTTTGACACTCAGTATCCCTGTGCACGATGGAACAAAATGCTGCCCAGTCCTCGGCCATCCCCACGATAGGATGCGGGTCAGACCTTTGCAATCCAGAGAACTGTCATTGGCTGATTTTCAGAAGTAGTTCTCCAGGCCTTTCTTCCTGGTCTATGTATTCTAGAAGTGCCACTGGACTCTGATCAGCATCGTCGTAGCACACATGTCTCCACAGGCAGATGGGAGGTGACTGAGCCTGAGGTGCATTGGCTGTGAATTGAACCCAGGTCTCCCACAAGAATCCTACCACTAAATCACCACTGCCTTCACTGTGGGTATTAACTAGTACTGTATAGATCATTCTCAGAGTTGTGTTTCATTGGCTTTCAGATGCTAGAAGGCCAGATAAGTCACTTTTCAAACTTTATGTGGGAGCAAGGTCTGGAAGTTGGCTCTACATCTGCTTTTTGTGTTGTTGTTGTTGTTGAGTCTCATGGAGTCGACTGTAACTCGTAGTGGCCCCAGGTACTTCCTAGGGAGTGTCTACAAACTCAGCTGGGTGATCCTCTCAGTATCATCTACTGAGGGGCAAGGATGAGGAAGTGAAGGCAGTGGGGTGTCTTTTCTTAATCATGTAGTCTATGTCAGGGCATCCCCTCACTCTCCTAATGTCTCTTCCTCGTCCTGAAGCGATCTGTGCTGGGATGTGGGAGAGGAGAAAGGTAGGTGGGAAACAAATGAAGGTCTGGAAGCTTAATAAAGGGCCTCCCATGGGCTTTGTGTTGTTCTATTCAATATTCATCTCTTGTTCTTTGGACATGCTATCAGGAGGGACCCATCCCTGGAGATGGACTTCCTCATCACAGATTCTGGTGAATTAAAACCCAACATTTAACCCACTGTGCCACCGGAGCTCCTCAGAGACTACAGTAAGCATTATTAGTTTATTGTAGTTTACTTAGAGTTTATGGTATGCTATTTTATATGACATGTGAGAAGCTCGTGACATTATAATCCATTCACTTTCCCTGACGTTTGTGCTTCTGTTATCATACATCATGCATCTTACTTCTAGAAACATCCTAAATACCACAATGACATCTTATTATTCTTTGCATCAAAGAGGTTTTGTTTTTTTTTCAAATCAGTTAAGAGGGGAAAAGATCATCTATTTACCCACAAACGATTTCTAGTACTCCTCATTCCTTTCTGTAGATCGAAGCTTCCATTGGTGTGATTTCCTTTGCAGAGAAAGAGCTTCTATTTAGTATCCCAGCCAACAAATTATCTTAGCTTCCATTGATCTCAATATGTCTTTACTTTACCTCCTTTTTTGAAGGCGATTTTTGCTGGATACAGAATTGTGGGCTAGCAGATTTCTCTTTTCTGCATTTTGAAGATGTCTTTCCATTGTCTTCTGACCGCCATTGGTTCTGATGGAAAGTGATCAGTGATTCAGATTATCTATCCCCTTTATGCAATGTGCCATGGTATTCTGGAAGTTTGTAAGATTTTCTCTTTATCTTTGGTTCTCAACAGTTTGACTATGATGTACCTGTTTTGTTTGGGGGGGGGGGGTTAGTTGGTGTTGTATTTGTTTTTGTAATTGTAGTCTTTGTGACTCACTGTATCTGTTGAATCTGCAATTGTATGTTTACAACCAAATTTGAGGACTTTTGGCCATTAACTTTTCTTTTTTAGGTTTTTATTGTGAATTGAGTGATAGTTTACATGGGAGAACATGAGTTTTACACTCATTGTTTTATTGCAATAATTACAATCTCCTCCATGCATCATCATTCAGCAGTATTTGCTTCCATTCCCTCTATTTTTGTTTGTTTGGTTTTAGTTGGGGGGGGGGTTGTACACAGAAACGCTCAGGAATATACAATCATTTAAACAACCCAAGGATACACTCTGCAAACCTGCCTCCTAGCCACCAGCACTCTAAGTCTTTCTCTTTCCATGAGTCTAGAGTCCTAAGCTGCTCCCCCTCTCCATGTCCCCATCTCTGCCTCCATCTGTGGTGTCACTGCTTCTCTGGATAAGGTCCAGCATTCTGCTTGTGCTCTTCTCCCTTGATGGTCCTAGGACCCTCTGTTTCTGGACTGTAAAATTAACTACTCCCCCTCGTTTTGTTACCTTTACAATTGTGACAGTCACAGTTAGCATGATAACAGTTATTCACTACCGAATCATAAGAATCTTATCCTCATCTCTTTTCACCAGACCTGTCTAGACAAGATTAAAACTATTCAGTAGGGACTCTATCTTCCCCCGCACACTCTTAAACTAAACTCACTCTTGAAACCTTGTAAGCCAGTCACTTCTTGCCTTTATTGTCCCCTCATTTTAGGTAGCCAATGTCTAAGTTGTCCTTCCTATCTATCCTGTGTACAAAGGGGATAGGAGTGATACTTGATGTGAAGAATCCTTCCTTTTCAGTAGGTATTTTGAGTGACTACATCCATAAGTATAGGTCAAGTTCATCAAATTGCAGCAATCTACACTTGTTTCCTTTATCAAAAAATTTTTTTTAATCTTTCTCTAGTCTAGTTTTGATTATCAAGCCATCGAGGCTAGGTCAAATGGGCACTATCTGCAAGTTTAGGTGTTCTTGTGCATCTCTCCTCACTTCATATCAGCTGGATGCTTCACTCTCAGCTCTAGCCCTCTGTGGCTATGTCCTTGTCCATGGGCTCATGTGTCCTCAGATCTCACCACACTTCAGACCAACCAGCCCTTCCTCTTCTCTCTCTCATCTCTAGGTCAATGGGAGTCTGTGGAATGTGTTTGAACTCAATCCATTTCTTCATTGCTTCCTTTCCCCTTCTTCCACTCATCAGTAGTTGGCCATTAATTCTTAAAATATTTTTCCACCCCACTTTCTCTGCTCTCCTTCTGAGATTCCAATGGCACATGTATTTGAGTACGTCATTGTTGTACTGGTCACTGAGGCTCTGTTCATTTTCTTCTATGACCTACCTTTCTTTCTAGTTTTCACATTAGATAATTCCTATGAGTCTGTATTCAAGCTCACTGACACTTTCTTATTCTATCTACTATTTCTTATTAAGCTCATCTCATGGAATTTTTTCAGGTATTTTTGTTTTCAGTTCTAGAAATCTCATTGGTCTTCTCTTTATCTGTTCATCTGTTATAAGTGTCTTTTCCTTTAATTCCTTCAACTGAATAGCTGTTTTATAGATCTAATCTGCTAGCTTAATACAGGACCTTCTTGGGACCTGTTAATATTTAACTGCTTTTTCCTTGATCATGTGTCACCTTTTTGGTTTCTTCACCTGATTAATAACTTCACTGTTTATCAGACATTGTGAATATTTACTTTTAGAAATCCTGACACATGTTGAGCTTTGCTCTGGCAAGCAGAAGAATGACTGACCAGCCCGAACTTGCAGGAGTTT